TCTGGGCAGCGAGGCCTCATCTCTACTATAAATCAAAAAATCAGCCGGGCGTGGTAGCGCATGCCTGTAATTCCGGTTACTCGGAAGGCTGAGGCGGAAGGATCGCCGGAGCCCAGCAGGTCGAGGCTGCGGTGGCCGGGAGCGGCCACTGCACTCCAGTCTGGGCGACAGAGTGAGACTTCAACTCAAAAAAAAAAAAACAAATTAAAAAATGAGCTGGGTGTGGTGGTGTGTCTCTGTAGTCCCAGCTACTTGGGAGGCTGAGGCAGGAAGATCACCTGAGCCCAGGAGGTTGAAGCTTCAGTGAGCTGTGATCATGCTACTGCACTCCACTCCAACCTGGGCGACAGAGTGAGACCCCATCTCTAAAAAAATTAAAATTAAAAATAAAGAGATTTCAATGATTTCTTTTGTAAAAAAACAACAACAAAAAAAAAACTTCTCAAGATAACCCTGTGGACCCTGGCACCTGCCTCCCCTCTGCCAGAGGGTTGCACACCTGAGGCTCAGGCCATGAGTGCAGCCATGCTGGGGACCTACGACAACTTTTCCTTGAAGACATCGAGCACTTGTTGGGCCTCCAGCCCTTGGGTGGGGTGGTGCATCCCAGGCCATGGCTTCCCCTTTCTCCTCCTACTCTTCCTCCTTCCGCCATCCCAGGTCCTCAGCCTTCTTCCCATTCTCCTACACTCACTCTCAGACTTAATTTCCTCATTCGTAAGGAGGGATGGTCATGTTGGAAAGTTATGCTTCCCCAGATGGAGTCAAGTGCCAGGTTGGACACCCCAGAAGGGCTCATGAAAGGTAAACTGAGTCTGACTCTCACCAGAGACCTTGGAGGCAAGGAGAGAAAGGACTGGAGTGGCAAAGAGTGACGGAGAAGAAGTTAAACAGAAGACCCCTGGGTTCCCTGTCCTCCTGCTCCCGCAAGGAAGGGGTGATGATGTGGGGTCCCCACATCAGACAGGTGGGAGGCGTCATCAGGAAACACTGAGTTCCCTCCCACAAGAGAGAGATTTAGAAGGAGAGTCTTGGACAGGAAGTCAGCAATTCTCATGGGTTCTGGGGTACCAGAACCTTCCAGAAAGGGGGACTTTATTTTGTTCGAATTGGAGTCTCACTCTGTTGGCCAGGCTGGAGTGCAGTAGGACGTGCATGACCACCACAGCCTCGACAAGCTGGGCCCAGGCGATCCTTCCGCCACAGCCTTCCAAGTAGCGGGAACTACAGGCACGTGCCACCCATGCCAGGCTAATTTTTTGATTCACTGTACAGATGAGGCCTCGCCAAGTTGCCCAGTCTGGTCTCGATCTCCTGGACTCGGGCAATCCTCTCACCTCCACCTCCCAAATTGCTGGGATTACAGGTGTGAGCCACCATGCCTGGCTGAAAGGGGAACTTTTTCTTTTTTTTTTTTTTTTTTGCTGTTAACAGTTTTTTTTTTTTTTTTAAATCTTAAATGCCATGGAACAGGATTGTAAGGATGAAAAACTTAGTCAACAACTGCCTCACACAGGATAAAAAAAATTCTGCCATGATATTAGCAAGGTAAAGGAGAAAACTTACACTGTAAGAGGCACCATTTCCCCCACAGAATACCTCTTGGCATTTCCTGAATGAGTGGGATTAGCAATCTAAATAAAGCACATTTCAAGAGGTAACAGCAACAGATACAATTTAAAGGGATTATTAAAATAACATTTACAAGACTGAACAATTCTTGAACTCTTATTAAAACCACAAAGAAAGAACAATTCTTGATTTATGAATTTCATAAAGGACTGAATGTGCAACTGACATCTGCTAGTGATGATCTGGTAATATACAATTTGTCCAGTAGTCGAACACTTTGTTTTTATTGTGTTTTCTAACCCATTAAAGGCAAAGCCTATGACTCTGTACACACACACAAAAATGGTCACCGCGGGCCGTACTACCAATGAAATGGTAGGTAAACAAATCTTTTTCTGGTCAAGGAAATAAAAAAAAAAAAAAAAAGAAATAGCACTCTACATGCTTCACTCTACAGGATGAACTTCCCTAGAAAGCATCCAATGAAAATGGCTGCAATTACAACAAGAAGTGAAGGAAGAGGACTGGTGACATTATCTCTGAAGGATGCAACTGAGGTTGATCCAGGCTTATCCGCATGTGCTACCTTTCTGAGCCTCAGGCCTTCATTCAATTATCATTTTCATCGGGCATTTCAAATACACATCTCAATTTGGAACCCATTAATTCACCAGGCTTTGCCTCTTTTCACACAGCTTCCATGTCTGAAGTGTTTGGTGGGGCAAAAATTGTACCATAAACTTGTGCGCACTCTTTTCATCTGGATCACAAAGTATTCCTGAAACGGTCACAGTCGACCCGGGGTCCCTCATTCCACGGCTGGGCCTCACACAGGACCGACGAGGTGCTGTAGTCTTCACTTTGAAACACACTTTTCTATCCGATGGATTTCGCAGTGTAACATTTGTAGCGACCACATCTGCGAAGGGGCCTTTGAATTTGAGGTCTGCGGGTGGGTCGGGGACCAGGATCTGCCCGCGCTTGGCCATGGCCCCGGAGGCGGACGCCATAGGAGAGACAGCGCAGAGCGGGGGCGCGCCTGCCGCCGGGTCGCCGGTCCGGTGGGCCGCCCACCGGGTCGGCAGCACCGGGCCTCGCAACTGGACTCCACCCCCCACCAGCCGCCGCAGCCCCGCGCACACTGCGATCCTCCGCGCCCCGGGGGAGGCTTTTTCTTTAGGTCTTGCAGAACTGGGAATCACCAGCGCCATTTGGTGGCCTAGAAGACTGTGACCAGGTTCAAGGGGGTCTTCAGCCTGCACATGCCTGGGCTAATTCCTGGCTGCATTTGCTGGAGGCTGAGGTTTCAAGGGCCCTTGAGGAAACTTGGAGGCCTCTTCCTCTATGGCACTTGTTCTTTGAGTGAAGTGGCTGGAAGTCTCTCTCTCTCTCTCTTTCTCTGTCTCTCTGTCTCTCTCTCCCCCTCCTGTTCCCCTTTCCCGCTCTCTGGGCCACCAGGCCCCTGATAACACTTGGAAGGCGCTATCGGCCCAGGAGAGCCCTCCTGCCCGGCCCTGGGCCTGCTCCAGGCTGACGGTTTGCAGCCGGCACCGTGTGATAAACTTATCAGGCCAAACCTGAGCATGGCGGGCTCAGAACACGCCTGGCTTCAGATTTCCCTCCTGCAGCCCCCACCTCCCAGGAACCCCCAGGTCCTGCCTGGCTCCCAGCTGGCCCAGCCCCAGGCAGACACCCCTGAAGATGGTTCTGGGCAGTCCCAGACCCAGACCAGGAGCAGAATCGCATGTCCAGTGTCCACCCCACAGTTCCCAAGCCAGGCTCTTTCTCTGCCTTAGTGATCCCTTCCCAGCTGCCGAGAAGGAACATATTTATCCTAAACTTATCGGGGGACCTACTAGGTGCTGGCCTTGATGGAGGGGACCCAGCATCGGCCAGGAGTTGGCTCATGGGGTAGGGGATGGGGCGAGCCAGCCAGCACTTGTAAGCAGAAAAACACCTGCCCCGGAGGGGCCGCAGCAATGAGGGAGGGGCAGAATTTCTTGAGGCTGAGAAATTCTATTTAAGTTGAGAGAGTCTTTTTTTCTAGTGCCTGTGATAATGTTATCATGCACGCCCATTTCAGAAAAATAAAACACGCTGAAGAATAAGAGGAAAGATCCCTTAATTCAGCCATGGTCACTGTTGATATGCCACCCTCTAACCTTGAACACTTCCTTCTGAGTGTGTGTATATAATGGAATCATGGGCTGTAAACTGATTTTTAAACCCTTTCTTTCTTCCTTTCTTTCCTTCCCTCCCTCCCTTCCTTCCTTCCTTCTCTCTTTCTCTTCCTTTTTTTTTTTGTCAGAGTCTCACTGGGTGTCACCCAGGCTGGAGTGCTGTGGCATGCTCACAGCCACCACAGCCTCGACCTCCTGGGCTCAGGTGATCCTTCCGCCCCAGCCTTTCAAGTAGCTGGAACCACAGACATGCGCCACCCTGCCCAGTTGATTTTTTGGTTTATTGTAGAGGCGAGGTCTTGCCAAGTTGCCCAGGCTGGTCTTGAACCCCTGAGCTCAGGCAGTCCTCTTGCCTCTGCCTCCCAATGGGCTGGGATTACAGGTATGAGCCACCGCACCCAGCCTTTGTGTGTGTGTGTGTGTGTGTGTGTGTGTGTATGTGTGTGTGTGTGTGTGTGTGTGTCTCATTCTGTCACCCAAGTTGGAGTTCAGTGCCACAATCACGCCTCACCAAAGCCTCAACCTCTTGGGCTCAGGCGATCCTCCCACCTCAGCCTCCTGAGTAGCTGGGACTACAGGCACATATCACCATGCCTGGTTAATTTTTTAATTTTTTGCAGCAACAAGGTCTTGCTATGTTGCCCAGGCTGATCTCGAACTCCTGGGTTCAAGCAATCCTCCTGCCTTGCCCTCCCAAAGTGCTTGGATTACATGCGTGAGCCACAATGTACGGCACCCATTCATAACTATTTCTTTAAGATACATTCCTAGGAGTGTAATGAGGGTTGTGGGTGATCACATTCAGAAGCTTTTCTCATGCACTTGATGTGAGGCTGAAGGGGTTCAGAGGGGGAGGGAAGACATTTCAGGTGGAGGGAACCCTGTGGGCAAAGACTCGAGGCTGGGGAAGAGCATCAAGAATTCCCCCGTGGAGGGCTGGGCACTGTGGCTCATGCCTGTAATTCCAGCACGTTGGGAGGCCAAGGTGGGAGCATTCTTGAGCCCAGGAGTTTGAGGCTAGCCTGGGCAACATAGCGAGACCTCATCTTTATTTAAAAAATTAAAATTAAAAATAGCCGGGCGCAGCGGCTCGCGCCTATAATCCCAGCACTTTGGAAAACTGAGGTGAGAGGATTGCCTGAGCCCACGGGTTCAAGACCAGCCTGGGCAACTTGGCGAGACCTCATCTCTACAATAAATAAAAAAATTAGCTGGTGTGGTGGTGCATGCCTGTGGTTCCAGCTACTTGGAAGGCTGAGGTGGAAGGATGGCTGGAGCCCAGCAGGTCAAGGCTGTGGTGGCCTGGAGCATGCCATTGCACTCCAGCCTGGGCAACAGAGTGAGACGACAACTCAGAAAAACAAAAACAAAACAAAACAAAAAATTGCCAAGGCGCAGTGGCTCACACCTGCAATTCCAGCACTTTGGGAGGTGGAGGCGAGACGATTGCCGGAGTCCATGGATTCGAGACCAGCCTGGGCAACATGGCGAGACCTCGTCTCTACAATAAATCAAAAATTAGCTGGGGTGTGGTGGCGCACGCCTGTGGTTCCAGCTACTTGGAAGGCTGAGACAGAAGGATTGCCTGAACCCTGCAGGTCGAGGCTGTGGTGGCTGTGTGCACGCTATTGCGCTGCAGCCTGGGTGGCAGAGTGAGACTTCCAACTCCAAAAAAAA